TGCTTGAGTACTAGACAGAAAAATAATATTTCGAACGGATATGCATTATTCATATTAGGTATAAGGGAACACTTACTCCACCTATGTTTCATTCAGAATATTTTAGAAGATGTGTTAGATATCAAATTTGTCTCGTCTATAATGTCATCCCAAAAGAGTATAAAATTATTAGTTATAATTCCTTCAGAGTAAAACTTGAGTCATTTGTGCTGAACACTCGCTAATAATTTTTTTCTTTTTTAATGGTTTGCTGCTTTTTTATTAGTTTTATTAGTTTTGTTTATTTATTTTCCCTTCTGTGAATTTATGTTTTTAATATTTTTATTTTTCTTTTCGTGTCATAGGGATATTTTCTTAAGGGTTAAGTGGTAGGACAATTCAGTTACTATGTTTCAAGCTTAGCCGCTGAATTGAACTTCGCCCTTTGCTTGTGTTAAATTTATTTTTCTTTTTTTTTTAATTTAATATAAATTTATTTAATGCAAAAAAGATATTGTTATTATTATTATTATTATTTTTTTATCACGTGTGTGTCACGGTGTGGTTTCTTGCGGCTGGTGAGGTAAGTCACAAAGCTCGCAAGATTTTTGTTTTCTTCTTATTGTTCCTGTTCTTCCGCAGGCTTGTTGAATACTTCACGGACAACATTGCATGTTCCCAAGATCGCCCCTTTCTGTAGTTCTATATTCCGAAAGGCTGATCTAGGACTTGTAAGTACCTTTTCAGGTTTTTGGTAATTTCACTGGTTGCGCCAATTATTATAGGGATTACTCTCACACTTGTAGCTTGCCACATCTCTTTCATATCCTCGGATAGAAGTAAGCATTTTTCCATTTTTTCTTTTTCTTTTTTGTGTATATTTGCAGGAGCCGGCACAGATATGTCAATTAATGTTATTTCCTTAGTTTGTTTTTCGTAAATAAGAATATCTGGCCTGTTGTGTGTTACCTTTCTATCTGCCTGAATCTTTCTGTCCCAATAGACTATAAAGTTGTCGTTCTCTGCTACATTTTTTGGGTTGTATTTGTAGTAGGGTGTTTTACAGTCGATTAGTTTGAGTTTGTAGCATATCTCTATGTGAAGTATCTTTGCGACGTTGTTGTGCTGATTTGTGTATTCTCGTGGTGCTAGGACTTCGCATAAGCTTATAAGATGTTCGACATTTTCATGTCCTTTATTACACATACGACACTTCGTCGTCTTTATGATTCCATCCTTCACTATATATTTCAGATAGGATATACTTGGTATTATTTGGTCCTGTATGGCACAAAAAAACCCTTCTGTCTCGGGAAATATACCTCCTCTTGTCAACCAACCCAGAGTTGCTGTTTTGTCTATGTTTTCGTCGTTGTTAAGAGTGTTATGGTATCTTTCGTGGAGTTCTTTTCCTCTTCATGCGTTTTCAATTGACATAATGTTGTAGTTTTTGTCTGGGTTAAATTCGTGTTCAGACAGATTCAATGGGGTAAGTCTTCTGTCTATTTCGGTTATGGCTTTGTGGACTGGCGAATGTTTAGTTTTAGAATAAAATTATTTTCTCAATAACTCAATTTGCTTTTTACATCTCAGGCGGAAATCTGTGATCCCTCTTCCCCCGGCATTTTGTGGCAAGTAGAATCGTTCTTTACACGCTTTGGGATGATGCTTTCGGTGTTTTGTAAAGGCAACTCGAGTGATTCTATTGAGTTCTTCTAGTTCTGTGATCGTCCATGAAACCACTCCGAAACTGTAGGCAACTACTGGTGTAGCATATGCATTGTAGGCAGTCGCTAGGTTTTGGCCTGATAGCTTTGATTTTAGTAAAAGTTTTATTCTGGTTTCAAACTTTTTCATCAGCATATCTTTGACCTCTTGAGTTTAAATTCCTCTAGCTTGAGCAAACCCTAGGTATTTTTAGGTTTCATTGCGTTCCATGCCTGTTATTGTGTCCCCGCCAGCTGCTTAAATGAGTTTATGTCCATCTGTTTTATACCATTTTCCTCGTCGAAAACTATTGGTTTTGCATTTCTTGATTACAAATTTCATTCGGATATCATTTGAGAACTTCTCGACGCACCGTAGTTGCTGTTTGAGCTCTTGTTCGGATGAAGAGTATAGTTTGATGTCATCCATGTACATTCAGGAGGTCCTTTCGCCACCCCTTTCGCCACCAATGTTAAAAAAAAAGTTATTAGATTATGACTAAAATTAATTTTTTTCTAATAGTTGAAGTCTTTATTTACCTAATAGTGAACTTTTAACTATATCTTACCGTGCAAATTTTTGAGAAATATTTTTTTAAAAATGTGGGTATTTGTACACTGTCTTACGAGAAAGTACGACCAGAACAACAATTCTCGAATTATACTATTATTTATTGATTAGATGGAGTAGAAAAAAACTAAAAATAAGGTTTTTGAAATATTTAGTTTTTGTTTTTTACAATAAAATATATAGGTTACCGTGGAATTTATTGAGAAATTAATATTAAAAAAAAAAATTTCAAGCAACTTAATTGAAATTTTTTTGTGATTTTTTAATATTAATTTCTCAATAAATTCCACGGTAACCTATATATTTTATTGTAAAAAACAAAACCTAAATATTTCAAAAACCTTATTTTTAGTTTTTTTTCTACTCCATCTAATCAATAAATAATAGTATACTTAATTACAATTCGAAAATTGTTGTTGAAGTCTTACTTTCTCATAAGACACTACTCACATTTTTAAAATTCTTTTTTCTCAAAAATTTGCACGATAAGGTATAGTTAAAAGTTCACTATTAGACAAATAAGGACTTCAACTATTAGAAAAAAATTAATTTTAGTCATAATCTAATATTTTTTATTTAACATTGGTGGCGAAAGGACCTCCTTAAATTGTTTTAATCAGAAGTTTTGGATCTTCTCCGGTCCAGGGGCTTTCCAATTAGAGGATCTTGAAAGTACGTTTTCAAGATCTTTTTCTAAAATTTCCGGTGGTGGCATTACCGGGATTTTTTCTCTTGTCTTGTTCTCGTCTTTTATCCAAAACTGTTGTATCACCTCCGGATCGGGGTATTCTGCGTTTTGGTTCGCCGTTCTGTTGTTGTTCATGTTTCGGTAGAATCCGCATTGAGCTTAATTAAACATTCTGTTCTCGACTCATATTATTATTAATATTATTATTAGTATCATTATCATTAATTATTATTATTATTTTTAATTTAGATGCCAGAAATACTTGTAGGGATCACTTTAAAAAATATAAATTACTTATTTTTCCTTCAATTTTTATATTTAAAATTCTTATGTACATGAAACAAAATATTTCACAATTTTCCCATAACTTAGACACCCACCATTATTCTACTAGAAGTGGAAACCAATTACGTATTCCAAAACATGAAAATATGAAAACGACACAGTCAATATCACTATCCAAGTAATTTACAAAAGTTTTATATTCGTCCAAGTTTTTATTCAAACTACGAATGTTGTTATAAATTATTTTAAAGTTATTAAATTTGTTTATTTTTTATATATTTTTGAGCGATAAAGTATGATCCTAAATACATTCGAGTTTAAAAATTTTTATATAGTGATCCATGGTAAATAAAATAGATTTAAAATATTTATACAGACGTACACTAAAAACATTTCTCGTCTCGCGGCATCATTAATAAAAATTAAGTGTTTGAGATAAATTACTGTTAAGTTGTAAATAAATTAGTGAATATAATTAAAAATAAATTAAATAATAAACTGTTTAAAGTAAATAAACGTTACATTGGTGACATAAGTCGGGATACTGCCACTTACAGTTTTTCCAACATTGCTGTTATCTAAGAAAACATTTTATATAATAAAATAGTAATAAGAAACTTCAAGTTTTTTCATTCATTATAAAAAGCTTTTTGTTTGCATTCAAATGTGTTTCCTTAAGCCATCCGAGTACAAATTCCAACCCACCAACTATCCAGTTACGCCTCTGACTAGAATACGGCTTGAAGCTACGTGAATCTGTAGGATCATATTGTTTTAGTAACCCCTTCGCTTGAAATACAATCCCTGTTTGGCATATTGAAAATGAATATTATTAATTGCTGTAGAGATAATTAAACGGCACGGTGGTCATATTAATCGAGTAAGAGGGCTCCCAGAATAATAAATAATATCTTTTGAAAAATGAGAGGGGTTATATTGGGGGTAAAATGTTAGGGGGCAAAGAGGCATGTACGTGATGTGTGTTGACGCTTATTGAAGCGGAATACATTCCGTTTATGGGGAAAATAGGTTTTCATGAAACAGTATAAAGGAAAATCAATCGATTTTCTAACACCATAAAATGCATTAGTTTAATATTCTTTTTTTATATTCTTCTCACTCGGAATAAGAATTACTGGTTCCAAAACGAAGAGAAAATATCGGATAACGAATGAAAAAGTAATTAATAATTACAAATAATTTTTTTTATGTAATTTGTAATTTTATTTAAGTAATTTTTCTTTTTTAAAATAATTAGAAATTTATGAAGGAATTATGTTATTTAAATTGTCTAAATATAATTACTTCCCATAACTACAATTACTATTCCAGTTACAATTACATTTAAAAGTACTATTACATTTTTTAATTACAATTACTTTTAAATGCGTGTTTACGAGATGTACGTGGTAGAAAAACAAGAAAATTGCTGTTCGAACCGGTCACTAGAGCTCAGGATTTGCATTCATCTCATTTGTTTGAATACATATGATGAAAGCGCTGTGCCGAGGAAAGAGCATCAGTGAAGTAGTGAAATTATTTAGCCTAAAATAATAAGATGTAGATATCTTTATTTTTGAGTAAGGATTGAGTTGGGCACTTAGATTTGTTTTACTAAGGAATTTAGAAATGTTGACCAATTACCATTTCTCCATGAGGAAAATGCGAAGTCCTCTGTTAAGAAGAGACAGCCCTCTTTGCCCCCCAGGCAACGCCCATGCTAATAATCCAAAATATATTATTTTTTAAATTAAACTCGTTATGGACTTACCGAATCATATCGATCCCTTCCATCTCCGTGTCTCCAACAACGCTCCAAGACAAGTTTGAATTTACGTTGTGCCGGTAAAATCCTTTTCGACATATACATCGATAATTTCCCCGTTTCTCCATCGCCGGTTCCTCCTTGACACACTGTAACGGAAATAACAAAAAGTTACCGATATATCAGTTGTTTGTTCCGACGTAAAACATCAATTTAATTGTGTTACTTGGGCGTAAAATAAACGTAATTTTTTTTATAATATTGATTTAAAAATATAAAAAAAATGGTTCATTATAATGGTAGTTTAAGGGAAACGAACTCTTTAATTTTGATGACGATCCGTCAAGAGTAAAAGGGGCTCTATTCTCGAGTGTCTATTAAGCCTTTCACTGCTTCCTTTCCCGTGAGCGCACAAATTTAGAAGCTGCGTTTTTATACGTCTGGAGCAGCGTAGTTCCATAGCGTATATATACGTCCGGAGCAGTTAACCATAAAACAAGCCGATTTTACGGTCATTTTCATGGCCGGATTTGTTTACTTTTCGCAAAGGTAAAATAAAACAATCAGTGGTTATTTGTTTGCATATATTATTTAGTATAATAAAATAAATATCTCTTTTAAAATGAACAAACAAAATAAAAAAAATATATATACTATTTGCTAAATGGTCCTCCAGTTCACTGTGACTCTCTGTTAAAATGTCTTTATCACTGTAATAATTAGTTTTATTTTAACGCGCCATTACGAAACTACACAACTAAATAACACCCTAGAGAGCCTCAAACGAACAGAATAATTGCTCAATGCATATTGAGGTCAACTCACAGAACAGTCAACCGTGTTTAGTGTCAAAAAAATCTAATACGATTCAGATGCGAAGGTGGGGAATCTTCCGCGTATTTATACGTTTGGAGCAGTCGAGCGATAAACTGTTTTTTACGAAACATAGCTGTCAGTCAACATTTTCGATGCTAAAAATATAATATTGACAATATACAAGACGCTAGAATTACTTTGTACACATTAAAATGTACTGCGTTTATATACGTCTGTAGCAGTTATTTGATTCGCGTATTTATACGTTTAGAGCAGTTAAAAGGTTAAAGATGTCGCATTCGTCATAGTGTCTATCAAAATTTCGATTGACTGACACTGTCGGTATTCTCAAAGAAAAATAGACATTTTAAAATCGGTGACATATTTAGCGAATGGTAACATCTGGCAACAGTGAATAGATATATACAAGACGAGTATATTACAGCACATAATTACTTGAAAGATCTCTTATAGTAGTACAAAATAATACTGCAAATATATCCTAAATATATATCTTTTGGATAAATACCAATTAGAAAGTAGAGAAAATATTATAATATATTTTTACCTGAAATTTCATGAGCGATTAATAGAAAATTGGAAGTGTAATTTGATAAGAGATTAAATTTATGCCATTTCCATCGTCTGTATCAATCATCGAGATAGTAAAAAGTAGAGACGACATAAACACTATTTTGCGATATGACAAAATGGACTCACTTTAAGTGACGGAAAAGTGTAATCAAAATGGCGACTTGAGTCGTACTTTGATTTATCTGAAGTCAATAATTTTAAATTTAAAGACTGACGAAATGAAAATAATTTTATATCATTATATGAAACTATTTAAAGAAAAATAGCATTTATTCTCACCAAAACTGACCAGCTATATTATCTCGAATTTGACATTGACGTAAAAATGTAATACAAAAGTGCGGACAATTTAACATCGTCACAGCATCTCCTCTTTATTCTAGCTCAATGGTATCAATTAAAGTAACATGACAATATTTATTGTTGCCACCCCTTATGTTTAACCACTTATATTTCCACGGTAATCTGTCTGTATTATACTTTGAACAGAAAATATTTGATTTTGTCGCTAAAATATCAAAAAAAAAAAAATAGTTTGTATAAATTTCTCTGGTTAGAGATTTTTTAATACAAGATAAATTTACAACGCAGCGCTGTTTTTAATGATAAAAATGATATTTCACAGCACATGGTCTCAAAATAGTATATTATTAAACGAGCAATTTATGGTAGCCATTATTCACGCAGGGTGACGTTTGCGTCCCGAGCCGTAGGGCGAGGGGCGCAAGTCACCCGAGGCCATAAATTGCAAGTCTAATACTATACTTTGTCCACAACCATTATGGTTTCTTTATTAAATAAAAGTTAAGTGTAGAATGGAAAGTTTTTATTAAACATAGGTAAACTAACTGTCGTTTTTTCGACTTTTCAATTTTTTGACTTTTCGACTTTTCGATTTTTCGAATTTTCAATTTTTCGAATTTTCGATTTTGCGATTTTTCGATTTTTCGAATTTTCGATTTTTCGAATTTTCGATTTTTTCATTTTTCCATTTTTCCATTTTTCCATTTTTCCAATTTTTCATTTTTCCATTTTTCCATTTTTCCATTTTTCCATTTTTCCATCTAGAAAATATCGTTATGAAAAGTATCGCCCATCTTTAGTTATCTACCGGAATGTGCCAGAATTACAAAAGCGTGAATTATCATAATTCACTCAGTGATATATGGGTACCATATGCTTTTAGTTAGGAGGTAGAATATTGATTTATTATTAAGTGGTCGTGGACAAAAATATTATACACTATAAAATCTATCAAATTTTCAATGCCCCACTGATTTTTCAAATGTAAAGAGTCCAGTATATACCACGATACACAGATTAACGGTATGTTCCTGCGCATGCAGCTGACTGACGGTGTCGTCACGTGGGACATAGAATTATAACCATTAAATGGGAGAGTATTTAAAATTCGATATTTTGCCAATTTTAGATTTTATGCAGTTACTTAAGCTTTATTGGTTATTTTGTAATAAATTCGTTTACAAATATGAAGGTTAAAGGTAAATAATACCAATAAAAATATTAATTTTTCTCATAAATTATAGATATTTTGTGACAAAATCCATAACCTTGCCACAAGATAAGTAAAATATATAGACTAAAAATGCAAGTTTGACTCAAATTTGTACATTCTGGGCGTGGAAGTTCTCTTGCAATCTCTTTTCTTATTATGTGAAATAAAAATAAGTTTGCAGGAACAAATTATTTATTTATAAAAAATAAGAATAACATTACTTTTTATTTGGTAAATTTACTCTGAAAATATTCAAAATCAATTTTCCTTTTAATTTATCTTTTTCTTATATATGTTCGTATCCTGCTTATGCATGGCATTACTTCAAAAGGACCGTTGTATTAGGACAGAAAACTACTGTTTTATCTGCTAAAATTTTTAAATACCGATTTATTTTCTTCGCTTAAAGAGGCCCGTGCACCTGGTGGAATTCAGTTTTCTTTTCTTGCATCTATGTTTAAGAGAAATCTCACAACTACTTTCCTTAAAGTGGATGGGGCAACTTCTATTAAGTTTGTTCTTTCTTCGATAAAAATTTACCCATATTTTGTGGCATTCGGAAATATCTCCACCTCGCAGCCCGGAATTTTAAACCTTAATTTAGTTCTTCCCTGTTATATATAGGAAAATATAGTCACTACTAATACAAAAACAAATAAATTATTAAATTATTTTACACTATTCAATCGAAAAGTGTCAAAATAACTTGAAAGTTCGTTCCGCATTACGTCATGCACAGTTTGGACGAATTTTGAATCAAAAGTACCTTTAGTATTTGTATCGTGAATATATACGAGGGTGGCCTGTTTCTAAGTGGCTTTTTTAATGATTTTGACAATTAGCTGACTGACTTTTGTAAATCATATCTACAAAATAACAACTTTCTATCTCAAAGCGTTGTTGTACTGTTGCTAATTCTTAAACTTTGTATCGTCTTTGTTCATAAAAATGGATCCTGAAGAATATCTAGAGATTTCGATTTGCCATCTCTTGATACTAAATTACAATTTTCATACATAGATTTACGTTTCTTATCGTACACTGAAAACTCACGTACACGAAGATATGGGCTCAGTATGCATCAAAGCATTTCTCATATATACCGAGGTAGGGCATTTGTGTACAGAATAAAGATGTCTGGGTTCGAATCCAACGCTAATAGGATTTTTTTTCAAATCCCCAAGTAAGTGTTTTCACCTTTGGGGTTCGGGGATGGTCTTAATATTTCGTAAGGAGATTTTTAAGATTTGTTTCCGAATTTTTTAAGTTATTTCAGCCACTTATGAAAATAAGATGTGAGCTCAGTATGCATCATGCTGTATGGAGATATTTGAAGATTTAAGAACAAACATGAAACCACGCTTGGCCCAAATTAGCACATCAAACTGCCGGCTACAAATCTCGACAGTCAATGTCGCGATGGTCTAGTGGTAGGGCATCCCAGCGCTGATAGGTTTTTTAAATCTCTTTTTTTACATTTGGGGTTCGGGGATGGTCTTAATAATTCGTAGTGCGATTTTTGAGATTTGTTTCTGAATTTTCAAGTTATTTCAGCCACTTATTTTTCAGATCTACTGATTTTTCATATTTCGATTTGAGATATCTCGATATTAAATTACAATTTTCAATTGGAAAATTCTTTATATTAGCCAATACATTATTCAATATTTTATATTTAACTCTTCCTTTTTTCTTTTTTATACTGTTCCTTCCACCTTAGGTTCCAGGTTCATTCCTATAGGTATTTTAGGGAAAGATTTGTGTTGGAATTTGCACCAATTGAGCTTAAGCCATTCCTAATAGGTATAATAGTTTACTAGCACTTATAAGAAAGAAATTTTTTATTTTTAAAAACCCTGGTCTAAATAGCCATTTGTTTAATCTACGAATTTAGTTTCTGACAAATTCACATCGGCTGGATAAAATCTTCCTCGACGTTTATATCCATAATTTCCTCGTTTCTCCACGTCATTTCATACAAAATACGCTGCAAAGGAAATAACAAAAAAAATCCTCTGGAACGAAGATGGATTTTCTGTCTCAGGTGTCAAACAAAATGATATTCTGCATCCAAGGGTGTGTCCATATTACATGAGTTCTTTTCCTTTATTCCGTAAGATGACAATTCTACAAATTTAAATATTTATGCAGTTATTAATAAAATAAGTACATACAGTAAGGACGTATGAGTTGGAATAAATTCGATATATTTCTGTCTAACGG